TGATTTCCCTCCTCCCTCTTGTGACCCAGGTCCCTCCTCTCCTCCTGTGACACACAGATCTCCCTCCTCCCTCCTATGACACAGATCTCTCTCCTCCCTCCCGTGACCCACAGACCCCTCCTCCACATTGGAGACCCCTTCCCAGGTGTGCACTGTGTAGCCGTCCCCACATCCTCCCTCGTCCCTTCCACAGGGTTCTGAGGTCTGAGGAGCCCGTGGACTGCCCGCGTGTTGTTCCGTGGACTGTCATTGTCACTCTTTCATGATGGTGTCGGGTCGCCAACCTCATCCACTGGTGTCTGTGAGGTATGTGAGGGGTGTGGCCATCGGGTTCAAGGTGAGTCTGTCAGGTGAGTGGACATGTGGTGGGCGTGCTGCGCAGCACGTTACCAAGTGATCTGTGTGCCTGTCCCTCCAGCTGCCTGCTCAGTGGGACCATGCGTGTGGCCGGGCTTCACGTGGGTTGTGGAAGGTGCTCCTTACCCACAAAGGAGACCCTGTAGCCTTTGGCTTCAACCCCCTGCCCACACACCCCGTGACACAGGGGGTCGCCTCTTCCTGTTGCATTCAACAGACCCTCTGCAGGGTCCTCTGGGTGCCCCTGAATCCACTTCAGAGCCCCTTAATGGAGGCAGGATGAGTGAACAGGGCCTCAGAAGGCTTGGGGCGACCCCTACACCCACCCGCTCTGGGCCTGGGCCTGGGCCTGGCGCTGCCTGGGCTGGCTGCCCCCGCTGTCCCTGCTCTAACCACTAGCACAGGCGTCCACCCGCCACCCGGCGCTTGCTTTGCGCTTCCGGGAGGAGGGTCGCGGCCCGTAGTCAGTAGGTGGGGGGTGAGAACGGCTTCGTACAGGAGTTGGTGCACAGTTATCCTGCTCCTATATGATGCCTTTCTTCATCCCCTTCAACCACATGCAGCCCCCGGACCCTCCTCTGACCCTTGGCTGCGCGGGGCTGTCCTCTGCTTGCTGCTGCCCGCCCCTTGGCTCTTGCTTCCCCTCCCCTGCGGCTCCCGAGTACCCGGCGGGGCGGGCCTGGCTGGGCCACCTCTGAGGCACCCTCCTTGCAGGGGAAGGCTAGCCTGGCGGGACACCTGGGCAGTCCTGTGGCTAGCAGGTGCCTGATGGGCCAGACGTGGACGCCGGCTGGCCCTGGGTTCCTCCCGTGACGGGAGCCTCCTGAGAGGACCCAGTGCCCAGGACAGAGGGACAGCCCTGGGAGGTGCCGGCCCCAGGCTGGGGGCGGGCATGGACAGAGCAGACCACCTCCCCACGGCCACAGAGGAGGGTCTCCTCGAGGGGCCTCCGCCTCTACCCAGGATTCTCTCGTGACCAGGAGGCTGAGGCCCCTCACAGGCGGCCGCTCACTCGCCCTTCTCCAGGCCAACGCAGCCCGACTCCCGAGCAGGATTTCCCACTGCCCTAGTCTAGCCCCGGGTGCCCAGTGGTGGTGGCCCGGAGGCCTGGGCCTTGGTGCCGACCTGGCACCCCCCTCACTCAGCCCCTGCATGACGGGCACAGGCCCTGTGCTTCCTGAGCCATTAACCTATTAACCAGCCCTGCAGCCAGCCCAGGCACCCGTGTGGGTCAGCTCCCCCAGGCCCCGTGCCCACCTGTGCACCGTTGGGGTGCCAGGATGCCCTTGTGCGTTCAGGAGGGTCTCCGAGGAGGGGCGGCTTGAGCCCGATGGGCGACCCCAGGGTGGGTGGAGGTGGTGGTGTGTGCTGGGTGCGGGGCTGGAGCGCGGCACAGCATGGAAGCGCCAGGGCCCTCGTGGCGGGCTTTGCATCGGGCCTTGACATCGGCCTGACAGTCTCCGTCCCCTCAGGGATCCCCTGTGACGTACCAGGCTCTGGGGAGTGGTGCTCTGGTGACACTGGCGGGCAGGTGGTCCTGCAGCCCCGGGCGCCCCTTCCCAGGTGTCAGGGCCCAGGCAGGGCCTCACCTTGCGAAGGGCTCCCTGGAGGCGGTCACTGTGAGCCACCCCCGACCCCGCCAGCAAACAGGTCTCTGGGGCCAGCGCCAGGCTTGCTGTGTGCCGTCCTCTCTTCCCAGGGCTGCTGCTCTTTGGCCCTTGGCTGAGTTTCAACTCACCTTCCGGGGACGGGAGATGCCCATGACCGGGTTGAAGACTCTGCTGAAACCATCCACTGCTTGTCCTGGAGGCCCCCACCGGTGTGTGGTGAGGCTCGCTTCTTCCTTCTGTGTGGGGAGCAGGCCAGGGTGTTTGCTGGCCTGGGGGCTTCACATTTCAGCCAGCATAGCTGCTCCCAGGGGGTCTGGGCCAGGGGCCCCAACTCAACTCGAGCCTGTGCTGCCTGCAGGAGGGATGGGCAAATCAGACCTGTGTGGTCAGCAGCCACCAGCCGCCCTCAGTGTGTGCAATGGAATGTTTGAGAAACAGGCCCAGTGTGCACCAGGCCTGGAGGCTGGGGCACCCGCGGGGCAGGCTAGGAGGGGAGAAAGGTGACAAGAGGCTGGCAGCCTCACCTGGGGTGGCACTTGGGGGCCTGGCCGGGTTGCTGGGTGCCAGGGGTCCCAGGGTAGGGGTGAGGGGCATCACTGAATTGTGCCCCTGAGTTTACACTTTTTTTGTGGTGGGTTTGAAGTTAATGCTAACTTCTTTTTTCTTTCAGGAGAAAAAAAGGTTTGTATTGTGTTTTGAACAGTTTCCTAGGGCGGCAGGGACACAAAGACCCAGCATTTTTACCTGGTCAGTAGTTCTCTGGGATAAAGCCAGGGGCCTGGACAGAGGAAGGCACCAGACCCTGCTCTCTGCTGCAGTGGGAGGTCGTGCTCATCACCACACTGCCTTCTCCACTGGCCTGCGTGTGTGGGGTGTGTGTGTGGGGAGTATGTCGGTGCCTTAGGGACTTAGTGGGCTCCTGGACACCCCCCTGAAGGGCATGATGATTGGTGATGATGGGAAAACAGCCAGTGAGGGTCCCCCAGCAAGTGGGGCTCAGGGTCTTCTGGGTGCAGCGAGTAAGGACTCAGGGTTCCTGCAGCTGAATCCCTGACTTTGACGCATGGGACCCTCCCATTTGTCTTGCAGCTGGGTGGCCGGCTCCTGGGCGGCCTTAGTGTCGGCCCTCTGGGGCTTCTTGGACCCTGTGGCTGGCTGCAGATGGGCACAGCAGGGGTGCAGTCGCCCATGGTGGGAGGGTCCCTGGTTCTGTTCCTGGGTCCTCTGTGCCACTGGGGCGTGGCTCCCCCACGTTGATGCTGGGTGGGCGGTGGAGGGTGGACTTCTGTGCACCTTCCCCGCCTCGCAGAGCCCAGGGCCAGGCCGGGAAACTGAGGCTGGAGAGGGGGCAGTCGTTAGCGGGGGCTGGGTGGAGCCCCTGAGTTTGAACTGGGGATCCTGACCATGGTCTCCTGGTGCTGCTCTCGGGGTAGATGCCGTGGCTAGGACAGGGCAGGTGGGTGTGGCCCTGGTGCAGGTGGGTGGGAGTCCAGGCCTTTCCTTAGTTTCCTCTCTAGGGGAGGTGGGAGAGGGGCTGGCCTGGGAGGGCCTTGAGGTCAGACCGTGCGGGGCCCCTGCCCATGGGGCCTGGGTCCTGGTGCTGCCCCCACTGGGGCAGATTCTGCGCCGGGTGGGTTCTTGAGAGCTGCGTGGGCCTTCTGCCCCTTGGGGGGCCCTGGTCCTGCCGCTTGGTCCCCCTCCTTCCCTGGGCCAGTCCCCAGGCCTTGGTGGTTGAGTGAGCTGAGTGCGTGCCCCCCCTGCTCCCTTACTCCCTTGGAACCCCACCCCTCCCTTGGAACCCTGCACCCTCAGAACAGCCCCCGGTCACTCTGAGGGCAGCGTGACCTTGGCCTTTTCCCTTGGGGGCAGTGGTGGGGTCACCTGAAGCCAGGGGTGCTGAGTTAACGGGACAGCCCACAGCCCACCCCCATGCCAGAACTGATGAAGTGAGGCTTGTTTCTGGGGCCCCTTCTTGAGACCCTCAGGAAGAGGCAGCTCCCGGGGTCTCCCCCACCAGCTGGGGCCCTGGCTCCTCCGCCCCTCCCCCATGCCACCGCACCCCCCCATCCTCCCTGCCCCTCCACCCCTGCCCCTCCGTGGGCCACGCTTCCTTTTCAGAACAAACTCCCAAGTCAGATAATCTTTAATTCTGCTTTATTTGGGGGACAGGGAGAGAAGAGGGGGTGGGAAGCGGGAAGGGTCTTCTCCCCGTGGCAGAGAGCGGTGGTGGTCTGGGGGGCGCTCAGCTCCCCGGCACAGTCTCGGGCCTCCCCAGTGTCTCTCGGCCCCTCCCCGGGGCGCGGGCCTCTGGCCCCTGTGCTGTCAGTGCTGGAGGGGGAGGGGCCGCAGGCGCGGGCGCCCCTCGGTCCTGTGGGCCTGGGAGACCCGCAGGGAGTCCAGTCCGGTAAGTACTGGCACGTCGGAGTCCCGGAGGCACCGTCCAGGTAAGAGCTGAGCTCAGGGACAGACAGAAGCAGTGTGGGGGGCTGCGGGGGACGCGGGAGGCTGCTTGCAGCGGGCGGCGGGAGGCGCCCCGGCACCCGGGCGGGGGCGGCGGCGGAGCCCAGGGGAGCAGGAGCACCGGTGATGGAGGTAGAAGTCAGTGGAGCACCCGAGGTCAGTGTCCCAGGGTGGCGCGAGGTGGCCACGTGCGGCTGGGGGGCGGGCCCGGGTGGGGTCTCCTCCCCCCGCATCTGCTTGCTTGCTCGCTGCTCGGCTGTGCCTGGTCTCCACCTGGCCTGGGTCGGGGTCTGTTCTGCTCGCCACTGCTGTCTCCTCTGGCGGGTTCACTCCCGGCTGCGGGCCTGGGACCTGGAGAATTAAGACGGGAGTGTGTAGCCCTGAGCTGGCTCTGGGTCTCTGGGGATGACAGTCCATTGGCACAGATGAAGTTGCTGGTTGATGAGTTGAAGAAGTTGCTGCCCTTTCACAAGTGGGGTCCCCTTGGCTCCGGAGTGGCAGGAGTGGGGTGTCGCGAAGCAGTAGAGGCACGGGGAGGCGGAGGAGACTGGGCGGGGGGCCGGGGGAGGCCGTTCAGTGGAGGCCGGCGTCGTCGGGGTCTTCGGGCAGCTCCTGCAGCCGGGAGCTCCCCTGGGGCTGGCGCGGGCCCGGTGCCCACGCATAGACCGCGGCGAGGAAGCGGGTCAGGGCTCTTGCCGCCAGCTCCTGGTCGGCCGCGGGGCGGGCGCGGACGGGGCGGCTGTGGAGGAAGGCCAGCACGTCGGTGTCGGTCGGGGGGCGCCCGCGGGGCCGGAGGGCGAGCAAGGCGCGGGTGCCCGGGGCCTGCTGCACGTCGGCGGCCTGCGCGTCCTGCGAGCTGTCTTGCAGGCCGTCATGCAGGCCACTCTGACGGTAACGTTGCAGGTCGTCTTGCAGGGCTTCTCGCAAGACGACATCTTCATCACCCACGACGTGCAGCTCCAGGGAGTGGTACCTGGGCGGGAGGGGGCGGCTTCCTTCTCGCGGGGTCACCCTGACCCCGAAGAGCTCACACAGCATCAGCCAGAACCCGGGAGTGAACTGCAGGCCCTGGGGGAGCAGGGTGCTGCCCTGCCAGTGGCCGGGGCCCAGGGAGAGCTCAGCCAACTCCTCGGCCGGGACCGCGCTGGTGCCCACCAGGGCGGGCACGTGGGTGAGGAACCGCGAGACGGCGCTGGCGATGCCACTGCCCGTGAGCAGGGGCGAGTCCAGGAGGACTCGGAAGGAGCTCCTGGCGAGGGGCCGAGCCCCCGGGGTGGGGGCGGGCAGCAGGGCAGGGCGCTGCCGGGCCCTCAGCAGCACCAGCAGGGCTGCCACGGCCAGGGTGTTCTTCCAGAAGAGCAGGCCTCGGAAGAAGTGCAGGATGACGGCCCTGATCTGGGCGACGCTGTAGTGGGCCAGGAAGGCGCTGAGGATCTGGTCGATGGGTATGAGGGACAGGAACTCCTGCTGGAGGCTCAGCCCGCTAGGCTCATCCTGCAGGGGCGCTTCCTCTGGGTCGTCTTCCTCCCCCGACTCTGCGAGCTGATCCCTGCGGGATCCTCCCAGGGCGAAAAGCATCCTGGGCCGAGTGGCAGTGCTGCGGGAGAGCCCCCTGCGGTGGGGGTTCCTCAGGGGCGCTCCGGGTCGGCCGCCCTCTTGGTCTGGCCGCTCCATGACGTCGAAGTTGAAGTGGGAGAAGAAGAAGACCCAATGCCCCGGGAGAAGTACGGTGAGCCTGTCATCATTCAGAGAGGCTAGATCCTCTGTGTTGAGAAGGATCATGATGGGCTCCTCGGTGTTCTCCAGGTAGCGGCACCACACCATGAAGGCAGCCCTGATCGGAAGGATCTTCATCTCCAGCGGGGAGTAGTTGTCCTCCAGCCGGGAGGTGGTTCGGGAGTAGAAGGCGCAGCAGACCCTCTTGCCGGTCTGCTCGTCGACTTGGATGAGGGAGGCATACAGCGCCGTCCTGGTGGCGCCGGTCTCCAAGTAGAAGGGGTTCTGGGGCTTGGGGTGGTGGAGAAGGGGCGCCTTGCGGAATGCCCGCTTCAGGCTCTCGAAGGCCTCCTGCTCCTCGTCGCCCCAGTAGAAGGGCTGCTCGGTCTGCAGCTGCCGCACCAGGGGCTCAGTGATGGCGGCGAAGCGCTCCACGAAGTGTCGGTAGGGGACAATGAACTCCATCAGGTGGCGCAGGGACTTCTTGGAGCCGGGGGTGGGGTAGCCCGTGACTGTGTTGACGATGCTCTTGTTGAGCTTCACCCCCTTGGGGGTGATGACGAAGCCCAGGAACTCGACCGTGTGCCGGTGGAACTGGGTCCGGTCCAGGGAGCAGTAGACGCTGTGGTAGCGGAAGCGCACCAGCACCTGGCGCACGTGCTGCACGTGCTCCTCCTGGCTCATGGAGTAGATGAGCACGTCCTGTCCGTAGGACAGCACGAAGTAGCCCAGCATGTCCTTGAGGATAAAGTGGATGACGCTCTGCCGGATGATGGGGTCCGAGCAGAGCACGAAGGGCCGGTAGCTTTCCATCTCCTGGCGCTGCAGGCCGAAGGCCGCCTGCCACACGTCCTCCACGTGGTGGATGTTCAGGCTCTCCTCCACGATGGTCCCCCGCAGCTCCAGCTTGGTGAACCATGTGGCCCCATGCAGGGGGTCGAACAGCTCGGGGATCACCTGTATGTAGTCCTGCTTGCTGTCCAGCATGTCTTGTGTGTCCCAGTACACGTCTGGCTTGGCTGCTTCTTGCATCTCGGCACCCACAGGTTCCCACGGCGCGGTGGAGGGACATTCGTAAAAGGTCTCGCTGTGATCACTGTCTCCAGCCTGCTGAAGCTCAGAGGGCTCTGATTCAGAAAGATCATCGGATCCGTCTGAGCTTGGCTGGTCGGATGTCTCATCATCTGCTTCCTTCGGGTTAAACACGTCGGCCAGGTCGGAGTACAGGGGCGGCAATCCGGGCAGCAGGCTGATGGCATGTCTCTCCAGGGCGATGCATGGTGGGGGTGGGCGGAAGCAATTCTTCAGGCAGTAGGGAGAGTGGAAGGTGCAGCGGCCTCTGGCCCAGTCGACCTCCGGGCTGTGGACTCGGAGCCACTCCATGCCTAAGATCACGGAGAAGTTGGGTGACGGCACGATGTCGAATTTGAGAGACTCCTGGTGGTTCTGGTGGATGCACACCAGGGGCTCGGTGTAGAGCCAGATGGGCTCGCTGCCGATCAGCGAGCCGTCCACGGTGTGGACCGGGCTGGGGTAAGTCTTCTCATAGAGCTCCACGTAGTGCTCTTGGGCGAACCTCTCGTCCATGTAGTTGCCGCTGGCCCCGGAGTCCACCAGGGCCCGGACTGCCACGCTGTGGTAGGGGTTCACCCTCACCATGAGGAGCAGGAAGAGGTGGTCACGATTGATGGCGGGGTGCCCTTCGGAGGGCAGCCAGCTGCTCACCATCCACCGCTCAGGCGCAGGTGAGTCGATCCAGGTCAGGTTCCGGGGGCGGGCCTCGGGGGGCAGCCTGAGCATGGCCCTTCTCTCCGCCAGCTTCTCTTCTATCTGCAGGACCAGCACCATTAGGCTGTTGAGCGAGTCCGGCTGTGGGATGCGGAACAGGTAGTGCCTGATCTCTTCATTGAGCCCCTGGCACAGGTGGGCCTGCAGGACTTCATCTGGCCAGCCCAAGGTGGGTACCAGGCCCTGGAACTCGGTGATGTAGTCGAGGGCGGAGCGCTCGCCCTGCCTGATGTTGAACATGGCCTCTTCGGCCACGCGCAGGGCCTGCCGGTATTCGAACATCTCAGACATGGCCTCCAGGAAGGCCGGGAAGTCGTGGGTGAGGGGGCTGTCCTCCTGAAGCAGAGCTTGCGCCCACTCCAGGGCGGTGCCCGAGAGGTGGCAGACTACGTAGCCCACGCGCAGGCGGTCGCTGTAGAACATGCGCGGGCAGCTCTGCAGGATCAGCTGGCAGAGCACGATGAACTCGTGGTACTCTCGGCGGTCACCCGAGAACTGCCGGGGTGCGGGTAACTGGCCGGCACTGATGGCCCCCATCAGGATCTCCTCTGCCACCCTCTGTTGCTCCCTGAGGTCTTGCATCCGGAAGTACAGAGAGATGAGGGACCTCACTGCACCCATGACTTCAGCGGTCGAGGCGTCGGTCTGCTCCAGTGGGCTCTCCTCTTCGTCCAGCTCGGGCAGGTCAGTGCTGTCTTCCTCTTCCTCCTGGTCTCCCCAGGGCGTGGCGCGCGTCTCTTCCATCTCCTCAGGTGCCTCGCCGAGCGGCCCCCCCGGCTCCTTCTCTTCACCGTGGCATGACTCCTCCAGGTCTTGGAGTAGGTCATTGGGTGGATCCGTGATGTCCCTATGTGGGCCACTGGATGGCTCCTCCATGTCTTGGAGGAGGTCGATGAGCAGCTCTGCCGCCTCCGGGGCGGGGCCGCCGGCCGCCCCCGCCGCCCCTGCGCCACTGCCCGCTGGCTCCTCGCTGGTGTTGGATGAGCCCTCGGAGGACTCCATTTGTTTTGATGATGGATTCTTACGCTCCATCATCGTCTCAAATGAGTCTTCAGAGGGTTCTATCATGTCGTCGGGTGGGAAGGAGTGCTGCTCTGAAGACTGGTAAGGTTGGCAGGCGCCGGTCAGCGACTAGAGCTGCAGAGACCAGAATGGGGGGGGGGGCAGGAGAGGGAGGGAAGCAGCAGGTTAGGGTCTCCAGAGGTCAGGGTCTCAAAGGCAAAACAGATGCCTGGCTCATCAGAATGGGGGTCCCTGGCCTGGGTGCAAGCTGGGGTACCTGGGAGAGCTCTCTTGTCAGCCCTGACCTTCTGACCTAGTCTCCCAGGCTCGCTCTGCCTGGCTGGCCTAGGCTCCGTCCCCCGTGGTGATGAGAAATTCACAGCCCATAAATTTGGTGGCGCAACGGCCCAGAGTAGCTGGCGTGGCAGGCGGGCACCTGGCAAGGAGGCCTGGCCGCTTGGCTCCCCTGGCACGTGTGCCCAGGCTAGCCGCTTCCCTTCTCTCGTCGCCTGAAGTCACAGGTTGCACATCTCAGTGCTATTCCGAGCTGTCCCTGGCCGGCGGGCGCTCTGCAGGGAGCTTGGCCCGGTGGGCAGGCGGGGATCTCCAGGAGTGAGCCCCGTGGGACTACTTCAGGGAACAGGGGAGCAGAGCCAGCAGGCGCATGGCCACCATCTAGCGGCTGGGTCAGCAGCCCCAAATAGCTCTGTTTCCTGCCGCTGATTCCAAGTGCGGGGGCAGAGAGAGGTCTGGATGCTGGCTTTTATTTTCCCTGTAAATGTTTATAAGACACCTACTATGTGCCAGAGACGTGCACATTTGTCACTTGATTCTAGCTCAGAACCTTTTCTGATTTCTCCTCCCTATGCTGTGTCCCTCCGGCTCTGAGCTGTTGAGATCTGCAGATGGGTCCCCCACCCCCAAACCCTGCTCTCCCAGGTGGCCCTCTTTCTCGTGGGGTTTCAGGAGCATGGAGACCTGGGCATCACTTCCTCACCTGCAGACCTGCCTGCACCCTCTTGAGCCCTGGCCTGTGGGCTGTTCCCTTCTCTGTCCAGTACCCTCTTCTGTACTGGCTGTTGGGTTTTCCCCAACATAGGGGGCTTCCTAAAGAGTTGAGATATCGAGTAGAGGTGACGGAGGGCATGTGACATATTTGATATCTGATTGCCTTGGAAGGGATCTTTAAAAGCCCAAGTCTTGGGTGGTTTTGAGCGGGCGGAAACTGAATTTCAAGAGATGTTTTTGTTGGGATTATTTGCAAATTTCCTCTCTGCTGGCAGGAGCAAATTGAATTCTAATTACTCAACAAATTAGCTCTGTAGTTATTGGTCTTTATACATTTAACAGTGTTAGTTCCTTCTTGGTTTTCTTAGCCACCTGGCTGACCTATAAAAAAAAATCCTCATTGGCTAAAAGCCAAATTTTCTAAATAGTATACAAAATTTTCATCTGCTGTTTCTCAAAACTAAGTTCTTGTTGGCATGACAGTTCAATTTGATCACACAGGCCTGCTGATTAAAACCTTGGGCTATTTACTTACCATCTGTAATTTAAAATTCAAACCTTGTAGCACAAAAATTCCTGACACATAACAATCATCAAACCATTTTCTGGCTAAAATGGAAGGACCTTAGAATAACAGAAAATTCTTTTCATGTCACTCCTCGAGATACAGATTACATTTTTTAGTATAATGTACGAATTAGGTGAAATGCCCACCAGCTACCACCACTGCCACCACTATCCTCACAACATCTGCACAGCACATTGCAAAATTAACTCGTTTTCTTCTCCTAAGTTCATATAAGGTGTGTATTATTACAGCAAAATCCCAGTTCTCTAATATAAAATTCTAATTAAAATATAAAATTTGACCTTGTAATTCATCTGCAGACTCATTTATTAGAAATAAAAATCTGAGGATGCTCTTAGGGCTCTCAAAACCCTATATTGGTAAAAAATGAAGAAGTTTAATTTGGCTAAAGAATGTAAGTTGAAATTAGTTGAAATTAAAAATTTAAATAAAATTAAAAATGAAGTTTTAATATGTCCCTTGAAACTTAAAGCCTTTTATTGGCCAAAATTTTAAATGGTTAAAATTTAAAATTGACTAATGTTAAAATTTTCAAGGTTTAAATTGGCTAAATGAAATAGCTTGAACTGAATAAAATAAAAGTTTTCAGTAGGTCTCTTAAAATCTTTTTAATGGCTAAAATTTAAAAAATCTAGGGCCTCCCCGGTGGCGCAGTGGTTGAGCGCTTCGTTGAGAGGCTGCCCGCAGCCTCTGCAGCGCTGGTTCGATCCCCGGCCGCCAGGTGAGGGTCCCACATGGTGCGCAGACCTCTCCTGCCACCCGCTGCCCCCTCAGCAGTGTACTTCGTCAGTCCGCCTGCTCTGTTCTCCGCTCTGACTCTGGTGAATTGTCTCATCCACCAGCACTTCTGACTGTACCCCGTGCTTGTATAAATAAATAAATCTTTAAAAAAAAAAAAAATAAAATAAAAAATCTAAATTGCCTAAACTAAAAAAATTAACTAAAAATTAAAAATTGCAGTTGACAGAAGTATTAAATTGAATTAAAAAACTCATTAGGTCTCTTAAAACCCTTTAATGGCTAAAATAAGTAAAAAATATAAATTGGTAAACTGAAAAAAATTAAATTGATGAAAATTTTAATTTGGCTAGAGTTAAAAATTTAAATTGAATGAAATTAAAAATCCTGGTAGGTCTCATAAAAGCTTTTAATGGCTAAAATGAAAAAATCTAAGCTGGATAAATTGAAAAAGTTTAAATTGACCAAACATTAAAAATTTAAGTTGGCTAAAGTAAAAAAATCTAAACTGAAAAAAAAAATTAAAATCTCAGTAGGTCTCTTAAGAACCTTTAGTGGCTGAGATTTAAAAAAATTGGCTAACCTGCAAAAAATTTAAATTGACTAAAAATTAGAAATTTAAGTTGACTATAATTTAAAAACAAATTGACTAAAAGGTAAAATCTCAGTATGTCTCTTAAAAATGTTAAGGCCCTTTTAGTGGCTAAAATTTAAGGTTTAAAATTGAATAAAATTAAAATCTCAGTAAAAGAGTTTTCTTTTAAAATCTAGTAAATTCTTTATTGTCTGAAATTTTAAAAATTTAAATTAGCTGAAATTAAAAATTTAAAGTTTGAAAATTTGAACAATCTAAAATTTAAAATAAAAATTTAAACTGATTAAAATTTAGAAAAGTACATGTCAATCTTAGTTTTAAAAACCAACCCTTTACAGGCTGAAATGTTAACTCCTTAGTAAGGTGATTTAAAACTTTATATCTGAAACTCACATACTATTAAATGTCAGTTATAGCTAGAAAAGTTGAATGAAATTAAAAATCTTGGTAGGTCTCTTAAAAATTTTTAATGGATAAAATGAAAAATTCTAAGTTGGCTAAATTAAAAAACTTTAAATTGACCCATAAAAATTTAAGTTGGCTAATGTTAAAAAATTTAAATTGAATAAAATATCATTGAAGGTGTAATCACCCCTTCTTACCAAAAAGTCTTTGCTTCTTAGTTTATTTTTAAATTTGATGATGTAACTGATTAAATTTGCCAACATTCCTGTCTTCACCCTAAAATCTAATATCCCTGGCATGTTATGAAATATCTTTCGTACTCCTTAACATCAAAATTCAAACTTTAGCAAGATGCTTAAGTTATCCCATAACTTATATTTAAAATGTGCACGTTTCTTTTCATTGTCGCTAAGAAGAAATTCCAATCATTTAGCATCAAAAAGAAAAACAAACGGTAGAATTTATCTTCAAACTGGTGGGTATAAAACCCAAACTCTTTGCCCCGCCACTCCTTAAACCCTTTAGTGGCTTAATTCCAAATGGCTAAGTATGATATAAAAATTTGGCCTTGTCATCCCTCAGAATGAAAGGTCACCCTTCCTTGCAAGATACATGCATTCGGTCTTGTAACTTCTGCTGAAAGCTTTGTACTATCTCCTAATCATCTATGAGAAAAGATCTAAATGCCTTAGCACAAAATGCACATTTTACTCGATAGCTTCTCTGCAGATGGCTCTTATTAAACACAGAACTTTTGCCATGTCACTCTCTTAAAATCTTTTAATGGCTGAAATTCAAATTCCTTAGCATGGCACAAAATGGGATCCTGTTCTTTAAAACAGCGTCCAAATTTCTTAGCGTCTATGTAAATTCAATCCTGTAACCTCTGCGTAAGACCTGCCTGATCACTCCATATTTACTACTTGCCATAAATCATCCAGTTCCCAGCACTGAGTACGGATCCGGGGTGCACTAGGATCTTAGGGGTGCCTCCCTGTCCGTGCCCCTCCATTACCTGGTTCACCAAATCCAGACGCCTTAGCATAAAATGTATTTTACCAGCTAATTCCCTCGCAGATGAAACTCTTCTTATCAATCACTCCTTCAAGCCCTTTACTGGCTAGAATCCAAATACCTCTGCGTCAGAGTCCAAAAATGAGATCACATCCCTTCCCAAATGAAACGCTTGCATGCCTCCAGCCTCACATGAATCACATCTCCTTGGCATGTTATAAAAATCTGATCATTTTCTCTTTGCCATAAAAATCCACTCTTTCATTGCTGTCGAAATGCACACATTTTATCATGTAACTCCCCAATTTAAAGCTTTGCAAGCTTCCTTCATTGTCTGAAACATAAAGTCCCAAGTACTTACCATAAAATGCAATGTTTTACCATATAATTTATATTCAGACTGGTCTATAAAACACCCCAAATCTCGCCCTGTCATTCTTGTCTTTTCCGGCTTCAGTCCAAACATATTAGCATGCTATAGAAATTTGATCTTGTCATCCCTGAAAATAACATTCACACTTCCTAGCACAGTATATAAAACTTGATCTTGGAACTCCACCTTAAACCCTATGATATCTCTTAATTGTGGAATCATGGAATAAAAGTCCAAATTCTTAGCATAAAATGTGAATTTTATTTTGTAATTTCACCGCTCTCTATCAAATCCCCCCCCCCCAAAAAAAATTACCATGTCACTCTCTGGCAACTTGTTATTGGCTGAAATCAAATTCCGAGGCATGTGCAAAAAATTGAATCATGTCAGTGCCTCAAAATAAATTCCAAATTTCTTTGCATATGCCCAATGTGTAGCATGTCGCTCCTCTGATTAAAGTCTTTCAACTTTGGTGTCAACAGCCATCAGATCTCCCGGGTTTGCTCTGAAAATCAGACTTTGGCACCCCCAACACTCGAGGTCCAAAAGTTTTAGCGTGGTATTAAATTTGTGACTGGCTCTTGCGAGTCACAATTTGTCGGCGTTTCTCTTGCCTGCACTACTGAGTCCTCAGCGTTAGCCTTCAGAGCTATTCTAGCATGTTTTTTTTTTCCTGTGGATTTATCTCCCACCAACAAAAATTTTACCATCACATTTCTTAAAACCCTTTGGCAAGAATCCCGACTCCTTCGCGTGATATAAAAACTTGATCTTGTCACTCCTCAAAATAAAGTCCAGATTTCTCCCCCAAACCCCTATCTCCTCATGAACTTACACCCCCCCCCCCATCTTTAATGGCTTCTCACCACCAACGAAATGTCTCACATCTTAGCGTGCCGCCCCACGGGGCCCAGCAATCTCAGCGCAGGCCCTTCCAAGTTCAGGGCTGCAGCACGACAACCACATGCCTGTGCGTGAAATGGAAATTGGACCCAGTATCTGTTCTGTGGAAAAGTCTTTACGTTGCTCCTGGTGACTTAGGCTGCGGGACCCACATGCCTCTGCGTGAAACCAGGACGTTTAACCCTTGATCGTTAATTTCTAGCTCTGGCGCCTTGTCCCTCCTGCCCCGTCCCTCCTGAAGGGGTTCTCCTTTGCTGCCCCCAAACATACTTGGATTTGATGGGCCTGGGTCTTGGTTTTTGTAAGCTGGTCTCTCTGCCAAGAATTGTTGAATTCCTACAGCAGCACGTTCTGTTCTCTTCCCGGCCCAGGCACCGCGCTGCTGGGTCCCCAGAGGAGCACGGAGGCGGCGGCCGGCCCTGCCCCTGCCCCACAGAGCGTCCCGTGGGAGATGACCCCCATGTCCATGCCGTGCCGGAGGTGAGCCGGGGGGCTTGGGCAGGGTGAGGGGTCCGCTCGGGAGCTCGGGGGCTCAGCACCCCTTTGCCAGGACGTGGGGCAGGGTCGGGGCCGTGCTCTCACCTCAGCAGGTACAGCTGCCCCCACGGAGCACCTAAGCAGGACCCAGGGGCACCCCGAATCCTGCCCACCACCAGCCCGCCTGCTGCCGCCCAGAGGCACCCCACCTCCCCCGTGGGCCCTTCAGTGCAGACCCCCGACCAGTGTTCTCAGACCTCTGAATGCAGCAGCTCAGGTGCAAGTCTAAAGTCTCCCACAGTCTCTTTAAGAAGGATCTACTCAGTTGGAGAGTCTCACCTTGTGAAAAAAAATTGGGGTTCAGTGCACTGCCCATGGGGTCTTGGGTGAGACCCTCCTTCCCCCCGCCCCACGCTCAGGCAGATACCCAGCCTCACCACCTCGGTGGCCAGAGCCTTCTTGGTCAGGTCAGCTTCCTGTGAGCCTCTGAGCCCGCGGCCCATTGGGTCAGGGCTGGGACTGGGAGTCTTTGAAGGGTTGGAAGTGGGGGGGGGCTCGGGGGGGGCCAGAGGGCAGGGGGGGCAAATCCCTCAGCAAATACCTCTCCACGTCAGCTCACTTGTACAGTAAAGGAAATCTGATTTTAAAAATAGAGCTTGGAAGAGGAGATGGGAGGATATTTAGGAGCAGAGTTGCGCCTGGGGCGGGGGGCGGGGGACGGAGGAATTAGGGGAGAGGTGAGGACGGGGAGGAGGGCGGGAGGCCTGAGCGCCCGGGAGGAAGGTAGAGTGGGCAGGAGAGAGGAGAGGGAGCGTGGAGGGAAACGAGAGAGAAACAAGGGTTCTCTGCCCCCCACCCCACCCCGGGGCCCTGTGGAAGCCACAGCCTTGCCTGTTCCCCCTGGGGTGCCGCCAGGGATGGGGTGAGGGCCCAGAACTTAGGGGCTGTGTGACCTCCGAAGGGATAGCCCTGTTGGTTCCCGCCTTGGTCCGGTGCTGGGGTCTGGGCAGGTGCTGGGCATCGTGAGGGCTGCCAGGGATGCTGGGACGGCCATGGGGGCAGCTTTTTGTTAAACAGCGTCCAGGACAAGTTATGTCCTTGGCGGGCTGAGTCCGAGGGCCCTGCGAAGTGGCCCTAGTGTGGACTGGGGTGCCCGGCCCCGTTCTCCTTTGGCTGGCTGGCCAGGAAAAGACCACTTAGTGTTCCAGGTGAGGGGCGTCCCTTCACCTCTGGGCCGGGGCAGCCACCCCTCCTGGACAGCTGCCTCTGTCCCTTGGGTCCCGCCAGAGTATCAGGCACCACCCGGGCTCTAGCCTCGCTGGGGAAACTGAGTCCCTGGGAGGGGGACGCCGTGACTCAGGACACAGCAAGTCAGGGCAGCGCTGGCCCTGGGCTGCTCTTCTAACCCCAGGTGAGCTGGGCAGGGGCCTGTGGAGAGGGCACCCCAGGCCTGTGCTCTCTGCCCTCGAGGTGAGGGCAGGGCCTGACCCTGGCCAGCACTGCCCTGTGCTGAGCGCCCGTCCCCCTCCATCCCGCTGGATGGGCCGCTGGGGGCAGCTGGATCACTCTGCCCAGAATAACCCTGGGCAGGGGGGAGTGCCTGCCCTGGGGGGCTGGGCCGGGGGCACAGATGAGTGTGTCCTTCTTCACTGCCCAACTGGGCTGGCCAATCAGCAGCTCCCAAGGCTGCTCTTGCCTTTCAAGGCAAGTATCTGGGGCCGAGCTCACGCCACCTGCCAGCTGGGGCCCCGGGCTGACTCCGCCTGACTTTCTCCCGGCCCTCAGTTTCCCCTCATCTGCAAGGAAGTCGCTGGCGGTGGGGTCTCTTTGCTGCTGTCTCTCAGGGGTCCTGAGAGGTGCCTGAGGGCTGACCCTGGGGAGGAGTGATGAGGTGGGGTTGGCCGAGCATGGGGGGCTGAGGGATGCCCACCCTGCGTGTCTCCCAGCAGCTGCCTGAGTTCTTGGGGGGCCCTCACGTGATCTCACTTAAGCAGTGCCCCCTCAGGCACACCAATGGGTGCTTCCTTCAAGCCCTTGCCTGGGTTTGCCATGTCTGGTGGGCACCCCTGCTCCTGGGGCTGCAGGCCCAGAAAAAGGGAGGCTCTGCGGGGTGGAGGAGGGCGGGGGCTTGGAGGCGAGCGTGGAGGCTCAGCCTTGATGCTGGAGGAATGAAGGCCAGGGTGGGTCCGGATGGCCTCTGTTTCTCCATTTACAAAGTGGAAGGGACACCTTCCCAGGGGAGACCAGTGTTAGCTTTCGCAGCTGTGAAGACCCGGGGATTATTGATGGGGGCTTTGGAGCAGGAGGCACTGAAATTTCCCATTAACCTGGGAGGTGATGGTGCCTCGCTTGAAAGTGGGTAACCAAGGTCTACAGGGTGGGCCCACTGGGCTGCTGTGATTGGGGTGGCAAAGGCATTGGCCCAGTACCACCCGCCTGTGCAGACCCATGCCCATGCCAGTGGGGGGCAGATGCAGGAGGGTCTTCCTTACAGGGTCTCTGGGATTTAGGTGCACCCCGGTGTCTGCTCTGTGTCAGCTCTGCTCGGCCCATGACACCCTCACACTCAACATGCCTCCTTACCAGGAGCGGCACGCTCCCCAGCATTAGATTAAAATTTAGGGTGTCCAATTTAGGAAAGGGGAGGCAGAACCAGCGTGCAAAGTTGGGCTCCTTGCCCCCCCTCCCCGGTGAGTGGAAAGGCAGGAGCAGATGCCCCGGTGGGTGGCCTGTGGCCACCAGGGGACCCGAGGGACCCTGGGGTGGAAGAAATGACTTTCCTTGCATGGCATCTGTGCTGTCAGCCTCGTGGCTTGACAGGAGGCCAGACCAGGGGACTGGGGGCCTCCGAGCCTCCTCCATCTCCCTGAAAAGCTCATGTGGTCATTCCCAACTCATTTTGGCTAATATGGTTGTCGGCAAAGGGACAGGACAGCTGGCCCCAGCCCTGCTAATTATAGCCGCTTGAGAATTTGAACAGATACTGGGTCCACCATGTCATGGCTTTTCTTGCAGCAAACTAATCCTTTAACCTTTCCTCACGAACACCAGCCCCCCCCGGAGGTCAGCACGGGACCCCCAGCCCAAGTCTTACCTTTGATGAACGTGCTCAGTGGTTCTGCTGTAGTCGCGTCAACAGGAACCTTGCTTCCCTCTGGAAAGTCGCAGGGGAAACGGGGTTAGGATGGCCTGGGCTTGGGACCTGGGGGTGTCCCAGCAGTGCCAGAGCCCCTTCCAGACGCCCCCTGCCTTCCTCGCCATCCCTTGCGCTGCTCCCCACTTGGGTCTCTGTGCTGGCTCTTGAGTGCGCTGCACGCACTCAGCCTTAGCACTTTCAGCCTTAGCACAGCCTGGGAGGCGCTCACTTTCATCGGCCCCATTTTTCAGAGGAGGAAACCGAGGCTCAGGGACTGAAGTCACCCCATGGCACTGAGGTTATCAGTGCATCTGCCCAGGCCGGTGGCTTCAGGGCCACCGCCGAGTTTCGTCCTGCCCTTGGCGTCAGTCTGCCCTGCTGCTCCTCATTCCACCCATTGGGGCTGCCCCCCACACACTAGGGATGCTGGCGGGCAGGGGGCCTTAGGTAGGTCCCGAGTGGGTGGGCTGCGCCTGGCCGTGGCCCTGGTGCGTGCTCTCTCCTCCCTTCCCAGGTGGCGTGGAGGGGAGAGGCGCTTTCTCCCAGGAAGGGACCAAGGTCCGGCCCGGGATCCAGAAAAAGGTCTGAAAAACTGTTTTAAACATTTCTAATTTGTAAATTTGGACAATTTCTGAATGTGTCAATGCCTCAGAGTGGAGCTAACACCGGCCCTTCTTTTGCAGACTGGTGCTCACTGCCCCCCCGATGGGCAGTGAGTCGTGGCTCCTGGCAGAGGCGTGGTGCCCAGGATGGTGGGCACTTGTATGCGGTGGCACAGTGGGACAGGTATGTGTGCCCCCCCCTCTACACCAACAGGCTGTGCTGGGGCTGGGGCCTGGAGCACGGGGTGGGCCACTCTGCACCATGGGGAGGCATGACAGCCCACCTGGAGGCAGAGGGTGCTGGCACTTCGGAGTCTTTGGGTGTTGGGGGTCTGTTCAGGGCTGAGGGGGCAGACTTCTGGGTGACCTTGGAGAGGGACCATCATCCTCTCCTGCTCCTGCGGGCTGGGGCCAGCCATGCTCGAGGGTCGCCTTAATGCCAGAAATGAAGTAAATGATAAAATGCCTCAAGGCCTGTAACCATGGCTCTCGTTAGGAGGCTCTGGGCCTGTCCCTCTCTCTGAAGCCCCCTTCTCATTTTGTGGAATGGGAGTGGGGCCAGGGCCAGGGAGGGTCAGCGTCCTGTCAACTACAGCACAAGTATCAGCCTTACTGGCTTGCATTTGGGGAGGAGGTGACCTCCAGGTGGTGGTGCGAGGACCTTCAACCTGGGTGCTGCCCAGTATTTTTATTTTTCATAAAAATATTTCACATCTTGATAGAACTATGACATACATCTCGAAGTATTCATCAGGACCCGTTCAGCCCCACATGAAAAACCAGGGCGATGTCTAGCAGGGCCTGGGGTTTGGGAAGGGCTGTTAAAGCCAGGGGCACTGGCGGGGTGGGGGTGTTAGCCTGTGTGCACATTTCTTCCAGAAAGCCTGGACCTGCACTCCTCATCCCATGCCCGTTCCAGCTTCAGCCAGCTGGCAGCATTGCCAGGGCCTGGGAAGTGGGCGCTGAGGCTTACTGAGCAGGCAAGTGTTGGGGTGCCTGGGTGAAAGGGGGCTCTGGTGGGCAGCCAGGGTGCCGTGTGCTACTCTGTACATGAAGGGGGCCAGGTGGAGACCTGCAGGTGGCTCCCTGTTGCCATGGTCAGCAGTGCTTTGCCCCATTCCCTCTTGGGTTGGATCTGGGGAGGGAACATGGCCGCGGAGGGTCCTGCCTGGGAACCCAGCTGTTGGGGTCATACGCAGCCTCCTAGGCTCTTTGCCAGCCAGCCTTGAGGCTGCTGACGCAGGCTGCCTTGGGACCCCTGTTCTCTGAGGCCCACATGCCCCCTCCGCCCGGAGATCTCATGTCATATTCTCCTAGAGTTTTCATTCCTGCTAACTAATCCCTCAGAATGCGGGCCAGGGCATTAGCCTCAGAGCCTTGCAAAGACCTAAAAGGAAGGGACCACTGATGGGTGCATCACAGACCCCCCCAGGGAGATGCAGCAGGGGTCTGGGGCCTGAGGGTGGGGTGGTAAAGCCCCAGCCACGGCACACACCTGCTGGCTGTGTGTCACGGTGGGCGACTCGGGCACCTGGCTCCAGCTTTGGCACAGGAATATAAAAAATTTAAAAGGGAATGATCTTTGGGATAAATTAAACCTCTTGTGTCCACAGAACTAGCGTTTGGGGCTTCGCTTTCTCCTGGTCCCTCAGGCAAAATGCTCTTGTTTTGTGTTTGTGAAAACCAAAATATATTTCCCCCCACACAGGAAAAAAATGCACCCAACTAGCACCGACCCCCCTCAACTGCTAAAGTGTTTATTTAATTATGCAGAAAATGCATTGCTAATTAATAGGCTAATTACTAAAAATCAAAACACCGTGGACAAAAGCTCAAGCCGTTTTAACCCCACTCAGCCCCTCCCCCGTCGCCCCTGTGACCAGCCTCAGGTCTGTGGTTCCAGATATTTTTCTGTGCATTTGCATATGTGTATAAACAAGCTGTTAAAATCCACGGCTTTGGTTTGTTTAGTACGCAAATTGTCGTGGTGTACATTTCCTTCTCCCGCAGCTTGTTTTTTTCCACTCAATCTGCTCCGAGACAATAAAAATCAACACGGTTCTTACAACAGCACCTTGTTCCCCCAAGCCCCTGATTGCTTGGCCACCTCTCTGCCGCCAGCACGCCCGCCCCAACCCTGCCCAGGCCCTGTCCAGGCCCCTGCCAGGGTCCCTGCCTGGGTCTCTGCCCGGGACTCTGTTCGTGGCACGCTGGCGCAGCCAGGTGTAAGTAATTGCCAAGGTCTGCGTTTGAGGAGTGGGCTCCCGAGTGTTTATGCCATTATTATAGATGAATATATGAATGCATAAATTAGCAAAATAAAGAGGGATAGCCCTGGACCTATGATGAGAAAGTGTTTCTGAACAAAGGATCATGATTAATCCACTTCGGCACAAAATGCCGAGATCCATTAAAAGACAATAGGTTTCATTCTTTTTAAGAGCTATTTAATATTCCGGGGTCTGTCTGCACCTTTTCTATTGTGGGAAGCCCCAGCTGGGATTGTGCAGGGGGAGGGGACGCCTGCAGATAGAAGCTGTGCCCGAAGTCCCAGTCCTTGGGGTGGGTCACGGGTTAATTGAAATAATGTAACTTAGGCTTTGTTTCTTATAAAATAAATCCAAATCAATGCCTAAGCTAAGTGTGCCCCTTGCACACGCCGATGGTGAAGGCTTGCCGTAAAGTGAGGTTTTGATGAACACAACCCACTTGACTGTCACCTGTGAGGAAATTTCTGGGCTTTTCTTGTTTTTCGCTAATGACCCTGCAGCCAGCATTCTTGTAGCTAAGTCTTGAAACGCATCCCTGGCTGGCACTTTACTCCAGCTTCTTAGCGCTGGGATAACTGGGTTAAACGGGTTGCAAAGTTTATTTTCATTGAATGATCTTTCTAAAAAGTCGTTTGACCTTGTCACTGTCTTGATTTAAATCCCCCCTCTGACTTCCTGTGTTTCTGGGACTCAGTCCAAGACCTTAGTGTGGCAAGGAAGACCCCACAGGAAGGCGGGAAGCACCCCCCATTGGGCCTGCCTCTCTGCTTGCCCCCCTTTATCCCAGCTAGGCACCCCGTGTCCCCACAAGCTCCCTGCTGCACTCTGCCCTGCCCTCTGCTGCCTTTTTGCACTTGGGCTTGGGCAGTGTCTTTGCAGGCAGCTTCCCTGACCAAGCTTTAAATTTCTCCTACGGCAAACCCAAAGTTAGGGCAAAGCTAAGTCCCTGGAATTGTGATGCCTCATTATACATTTTCCTAGTCCATGAGAATGTTTACGTTTTCCTAGAATTCACGAAGCATCCGTGCTCATCGCCCCTCTGTCCCCTCCAGGGCCCTGGCTCCTGAGCTGCCTGCCTCTGACTCCTCCGGCTGGAAGCCTCGACCACCTTCCCGGCGATGCAGATTAGGGCTGAGCTGTCTGCTCTGTGTCTTTGGGTGAGTCCCCAGAATGCTGTAAAACTGCAAACTCACACCTGCTCCTTGGTGCACACACCAGCCCCCCGCATGTCTTTTGGGCGCAGGACCCCAGAACCTGGGCTCGTGGGGTATGTGGGTTGGGGGTGGCAGCATGGGGGTTGGTATCCCCAGGGAGGGATCTGAATCGCATTGAGGAAGTGGTTAAGTGCGCGCCCTTCGCAGACTGGAGCCTGGTCCCCGGTCAGAGAAGGAGGGAGGTCCGAGCTAGTGATAGCTACGGGGGCAGGACAGTGAGACTGAGAGGAGAAGGGGCTTTGGGGTACAGGGCTGTGGTGCTGGATCCACATCACCCCGGGGGGCAGAGGGCTTCAACTGCTTGTTAGGAGGAGCCGAAGCCCCAGGGTGCTCAAGGTTTTGGTGGTGGTGGGGGAATAGGGGGCACCCCAAGAAGCTGGCCCTTGGCAGGTCCCCAAGAATATTTGCGCCTCAATTTCCTAGTGAGAAAGCAACCAGAACCCCCACGGCCCCTGAGACAGTCACACAGGAATCACTAACTCTAGGCACCCGCACCCCCAGATCCCGCAGCTTCCCATTCTAGAATGCTCAGCCCTCCCTCCCTGAGACACTGGCAGCTCCTTCTCAGAGAAAACAAAAAGATCTGGGGAGAATGTGAGAGGGATAAGCGGCCCTGCCCCGCCCCCTCCACACCCCACACCCCCCCCCCCCCCCGCCCCCACAGACCCCTGTCCCCCTCCGAAAAAGTCAGGCCACCCCCAACACCTGGGAAGGGGCTGCCCGGCTGGTTTAATCGGGCTCTCCTGAAAAGTTTGGCCATATTTTATTTTATTTTTTTTATAAATATACATAAAATGTCAGACTGCTCTTCAGGCAGCTTTTTTAGGCTCGTATTTATAGACTTTGGCAAGGGCGGCTCGGAAGGAACAGTGGTCACAGTCTCCAGAGGTTAATAATTCCTGGAAAACTTCTGGCTAAACCTGACTTCTCCTAAATTTCACAGAAAACACTCCCTGGGCCGGGCCCAGCCTAAATGAGGGTTTTGTGCCTGGTGCAGCGTCCCGGTAGAAGCGGGGCTTGAGAGATGCTTTTCACAAAGTGAACTTCCTCGCCCAGGGCACAAAGGCTCCTTCTCCCAGTTTCGGGCTGTTTACTCTGGAGCCGGCTCTGCGGCTGCAGTGGCAGCTCCATCCCTGCCTTCCTCGGCAGCCTGGGGGGCCGCAGGGGGTGCAGGCACCTGGTGCTCTTTGTCTGTGAGAGGACAGTCCTGCGGAGGGGGCTGACCCTCCGGCTTCTGCCGGTGAGAGATTTGGGGAGGGTGACTTTGCAAGTGTTCAGACCCACTGCCTTTCCGAGCCCCGCTGAACCCTTTTCAGCCCCAGCGGCTCCCCCCCAACCAGAGACCTTCATTTGTAAAATTCCCTTTCGTTCTGCTCCTTGCACTTCCCAAAGGCAGTGCGCAGGCAGAGGCAGGGACACATATGTAAATACCACTTGAGCAAACATTTTCAAATCAACAGTTTGAAAGCAATCCTTTAATAGATTTAACCCACAGCAACGGCAAAAAGCCTCAAAAATTAGGCGCTTTGAGAAAGCCACACCTCCCAGCCCCCCCCCCCACTTCGGCAGCTCCTAAGTACGGTGGAGGGGCGTCTGTCTGTCTGTCTGCAGGGAAGCAGCCTGGCTCTCCACCTGCAACACGATGCTGCCCCCCCACGGTGGGTCGGAGCAGCTGTAGGGCCCCGGCTGCCAGCAGGGCAGTTAGGCAGCCACTGGCCAGAAGCTGGTCCCTGGTCTTGTGCCTCTGCATGTCCCCCAGTCTTTCTGCTCCATAGAGGTGCATCCTGCCCCCAGGGTGAGCCAGGCAGCCTGGTAATTTCACAGACAAGAACCCCCAGCTGGCTCCTTGGCCAGCCCTTTACACACACACACACACACGTATGCACACGCAAACGCACACACACACCCTGGGTGCCTGTACTAGGGACAAAGACAAGAAAACTCCTTTGGAAACTTCAGTACAGTGGCTCCTCTAGCAGGACCCCAGATAAAGGCTATTCCACCTGGGGTTCCTGGGAAAGGAGCCCCATGAATGGGGCTGGAGGGGAGTGCTGACTCAGCTAGGGCTGTATTCATCAGCACCTGCCCCTCAGCCCTGTCCAGGGTGAGGGGCTTTTCATAAGCCCCTGGAGCATCCATGTCACAGTCCAGCAGCAGGCAGATCTGTGGCTGCAGCCAGCCTCTAGGAAAGGGCCCAGCTTTCCCCATGACTGATCAGCCCCCCTTGATGCACCAGACCCCCCTCCTTCTACTCCCCCCACCCACCGTGCCAGCCTGTTGCCCCAGAAAGGACCTGAGCCAGCCTTTCTTGGGAGGTGGGGTGGGTACTTGGCCACTCCAGGCGGCCCGGCCCTTGAGATGGGGAGTTGGCTGCAGGACAGCCCCTACCCCCCGCCACCCCGCTGGCCCCACACACTCACCCCAGACTCTGCTACTGTCCCTCACTCCCTCACTGTGACAGCAGCACGACCGGCTGCCTCCCGGCCTCTGCCATTCAGCTCAGGGCTCAGCGCAGGGCTGGCAACGGGAGCAGGGGCGCGTCTGTGCATCCTTGCTCTGACCCCAGCCTGCCTCCTCTGCAGCCAGCCCTGGGACTTAGCTTTGCGGGAGCTGCTCAGAGGCCTAGACGTGCAGGCTGCCAACCCGGGCAGGGAGCCGTGCTGCAGCCTCCTGGCCAAGAACCGGCCTGCCTCTCTCTCTGCTCGGGTGCCTCCTGTAACAGGGAGCACCGTCTTTCCCTGAGCAGCTCACTCAGCTGGTTTGCACACTAAGTGATTTTGCCCCCCCGCCCCCCCCCCACCGGTGCCCCGGAGCTCTGTAGCAGCCCCCTCACTCCCTGTACCCTCAGCTCACTACAGACAGCAAGCAAAAGTTGATGTTCACGCTCAGTTCTCATTTTTTTCATGACGGGTAGCCGACCCCCCCCCTTGACCCGGGGGTCAGTTTTGGGGGTCCCTGTCACCCCTCTCCCCCTAGTGGCCATCTACACCTGTCCCTTCAGGCCCCTGCCCCCTGCACATTTGAGTTTGGGACGTCCCGTGACCCTACCGGACTTCCCGGAGCCCAGGGGAGCGCGTGGGTCTCCCCTCTTGGTCCAGCTGCTCAGAATCTGTCTGTTAAGCCATTTCCAAGCTTCTGTGCTTTTCCTGGACCCCCTGCTAGTTGCCAGGGAGAATGCCCTAGGTGCCACCCCTCCCCCTCCCTCTCCACGGGGGCTGCTGGTGGCCGGGCTGGCCTCGTTCAGCCTCAGCAGTGGCGGCAGCAGGCTGGGGGCTCCCCAGCTGAGCCCACAGAGTAGGCTGGCTCTGCCCTCTAGCGTGAGGTCACCCAAATTCCCGTTACTTTTCAGAGTTCAGCTTGAGACTAAATGAGCCAGGAGTACCCTCACCACATCAGTCACTGTGCAAGGCTGGCAGTGGAACCCAGGGAGGGAGTTTTGCATATTACAATTGTTGCAAAGGGAGTGGCCTGACCTTTCAAGACCTGGCTCTGAAAGCAACAGGACACCTTGCCAGGTGCAGAGACCCCTGGCCGGTTCTTACCAGAAACACCATTCACATGCCCACCAAGGCCCAGGAGCTCACAGTAGACTCAGCAGGCCTCCAAACAGCAAAAAGATCCCATATCTGTGGTTCCTCGACCAAGCATTTGCATTTGAGCACAGCAGCTTGACACTCAGGGAAGGCAACAAGCCTCGCAGTTTCCCCTGCTGCTGTTTCTCAGAAGAGCACAGACAGGGAGGCATGTGGGGAAGAGACACCCAGAGGGGCTCCAGCAGCCCCCTGTCTGTGAAGTACACTCATCCATCCAGGCGCTTGCTCTCCTACCTGCCCCGGGGCCAGTCCCGAGTATGAGGCTGTGCGCGAAGAGGCGCCGGTCTGTCAGCTTCCCGTCCTCGAGGCTCAGCCTGGTGGGGAAAGAGAGGAGTGTGTCACTGTAAAGCCAGGTGACCGGGGATGACAGCAGCTGAGATGTATGGAGCCCTGTCAAGCAGTCGAGCCCTCAGCAGGGCTGTCTGCCCAGGACAGGGCTCACGGGCCAGGCCTCCTGATCCCCATTGGCTGGATGAAGAAACTGAGGCAGGGAAGGGTGAGGTCCCATACTCACCGTTGCCCAGCTGGTGAGAGGCCAGACCAGGCAGCACCCGGCGTGTCGGAGGCTCCTAGCACGCCCGGCTGCCGGAGGCTGCCAGCAAGGCTGTGCCGAGTGCTGGGGGGGTGTGGGTGGGCAGGGGACGGATTGATTAGTTATAAGCGCCTCCCAGCGGTGCTTGAGATCCCAGCTCCTCTGTGGCCCAATCCGTTTGAAGGGCAGATTCAAAATTAGGTGGTAGCACCTATGGGCAGAGGCTTATGAAAATGGCATTATTAACCTGATGTGCCGAGGGCCTGCCCACCTCCGAGCAGATTGCAGATAGCAACAGAGGGGGCGGGGGCTTGTTTGCGTGGACAGTGAGAGAGGACGGAGCACATCGGGGGGCCCCCTAGGGCTTTCTCGTGGGGAGGACTAGCTTTGGCACGACTGAGGGCTTGATGGCTGCGAGGGGCTAATAACGGCAGCCCCCCTCCACTCAGGGAAGGCCACCCGCAGCTGCAACCCACTCTTGGGGGGAAGGATCCCCAGCCCCTCCTCTGACACAGACAGGGACCTTGAGCCTCCCTGCACCTCAGTTTCCCCACCCGAGGGATGGAGATGAAAACCAAACGCTGGCCAGGCAGCCCCTGATCCCACAGCCTCCCGACTGCCCCCCACCCCGGCTTCCCACCCAGTACCCCGCACCCGGGCCAGACACCTGTCAGCTTGTCAGAGAATATTCAACAGGAGAGGCCCCGTCCCGGGAAGGCGCGGGCAGGAGGAGGGCGGGGTGGGGGGAGAGGCAGGGAGGGAGAGGGTGCCGACCCGGCGCGCTCCCGCCCGCAGCCCAGGAGTTGGGCTACTTCAGATTTGTGCCAACTCACGGTGCGGTGGAATCGGAGGATCAGCCGGTCTGAGCCTCCAGACACCAGCCAAGAGTCTGTGGCGCCCCCAAGTGCCACAAGGGGGCTGCCTGGGCCGCGATTTTTGAACCCGTCAAGTGAGGAGGGGGAGCCGGCCGGGGGGACCGGGGCTCTGGCGTGGAATCGCCGCAGAGGCGCGGGGGGCGGGCGGGCGGGCGGGCGCCCCGGGGGCGGCGAGCGCGGCCCCCTGCTCCGGCGCGCGCCCCTCCCTCACCCGCGCGCTGCAATGCAGCAGCCGCCGCGGAGGGTCCGGAGCTGTCCGGCCGGCGCCGCTCTCCAAAGTGGGGGACGGAGGATGCGGAGCGGGGCGCGCCGGGCGGCGCGGGCTGGCGGGCGCCCCCGAAGCCGGTGGCAGAGTTGGGGCGGCGGCAGAGGGTCCGAAAGGAGGAGAGGTGGCGTGTCGTGGTGCAGGGGCTCCGGGAGGGATCTGCGGGGACCCCGGGTCCGCGTGAGTCAGTTTGCAGCGAGATGACTGACAGAAAGGGCGGGGAGGGGGGGCCGGGAGGAGAGGGCCCCGAGGACGGCCAGGACGGCTTGGCACACAGTTTTAGGGCAAAAGCACCAACTCCTGTGTTTCCCCCCAAGCAGTGTAAACAAATAAATGAATAAATAAAAGCATCTGCAAGCTGAATACTCCTCCCAGGCCGGGATGGACTCATCAGGTGGGCAGCGCTGCCTTGGAGAAGGGGGAGCCGCAGACCCTTTGAGAGCCAGCAAGGAGGCTTCAGAGGGGCTGGGAGGGGGCAGAGGGTCCGGGGGGAAGGCAGAAGGGCCTGGGAGGGGGCTGGAAAGTCTGGGGGGAGTGTGGGTGGTCCGAGGGAGGCGGGAGAGACAGGGAAGGCGGCTCCAGGACTGAGGGCAGAATGCGGGTGTTTGAGGGGGACAGGAGGTCCAGGGAGGGGGTTGCAAGGTCTGGGCAGAGCAGGGGGGCCTCTGAGGAAGGCAGGGAGAGGGCAGGAGGACCTAGGTGGACTCTGAGGGCTCTTTCTCCAGAGCCCCCGCTGGAATGCGGGTAGGGGGCAGCTCCTCTCTCCTTTGAGGCATTTGTTCCGTAAAAACCAGCGTCTTCTTCTTACTCCTGAGATTTCGTTTAGACCGGGTGCCTAAGCTCATGTAAATGACTTTTCTTCCCCGACTCCCTCACCTCCTGCACTTTATTTTCGCTTGTTTATTTGAAAAACCTTTAATTAGGAGAAATTTCAAACATCACAAAAGGAGAGAAAATAGTACATCATTTCCTCACGGTGTGCACAGTTTTCACATCCCCGTCACGCAGACACAACCCCACCAGCACCAGCGCCCCTGGTCCCAGTTAACCCTCCAATCCTTCCCCCTCCACCCTGGACTGTTTTGAAGAAAATAAAGGACACAGTGATTTCCTGTGAGCATTTTCAGTATGTATCTTTACAAAGGACTCTTCTGTTTTAAATACATAACCACAATGTCATTATCACAGTTAAAAAATTAACAGCATTTCCTTAATGCATCCAGTATCTATTCAGTTTTCAAATATCCCTGATTGACTCATAAATTTCTTTTACAGTTGGCTTATTCAAATCAGGGTCCTAATTCTTTCGTGTACTTTCCAGGGGCGCCGGGGTGACAGAAGGTAAGTGCTGCTACACATTTAGCAGCTGGAAAACTACCCCCGCATTCAGGGAGCAGCCCAACCTCAGTAAATCTCAAATCTCTCGCTGAAAACGGGGCCAATTCTGGGGCTTTACCAGGGTGACTGAGAGGCTGAGGGATCGTGCACATGAACCCCCAGCCCTGTCTGATACATAACAGACACTCAGCAAACAGTAGCTGCTGGGATTATTCTTTTTCCCGGAAACCTCTGAAGGGGAGCAGAGCTGGGGAAGGCGAAACAGAGCTGGCTTTCGTCCACAAAACAAAAGGTTCCTGGCAGTCCCGACCCCTGTGTGGTGAGGACAGCGCAGTACGTGCGCCACATCCCAACTAAAGCAGCCCGCAGTCGGGGGCTGGGACCTCCCGGCCGGCTGGCAACTCAGTCAGCAGCCCCTCAGCACACAAGCCTACCCTGTGGCCACCCCGGACAGCCTGACCGGGGACCCCACAGGTGGCCAGTCCACTAGATGTCACTCTCTGCTGTGAGTCCAGGAAGGACCACTACCCCAATTGCTCTGGCCACCGCCCAGCCCCGGGTACCGCAGGGGGATGCCACCCCTCAAACGTTGCAGACAATTTCTAAAAAGCATTTCTCAACATGTCATGCGAGATGCAGTGGTTTTCTCACTGCATCAGCCCCAGCCCGACCGCAGAAGCAGAGGGAATGAACAGTTAATGACCATTAGCTCAGGCCAGGCACCGATATGCCTATTCTCTCTTTAAATCCTCACCCCGGCTTGGTCTCCTTTCCCTTTATTTTACAGATGAGAGGACTGGAGAGGTTAGTGACCTGTCCAAGATTGCCTAGGAAGCAGGACCTGGGACTCCGACCCAGGTTTGTCTGATTCCTGTGCATCATGGAGTGGTGGAAGGATGGATATTAGGTCTGGTGGATGGATGGATGGATGCCTGCATCAAGATATACCAGTGGCTAGAGAGATGGCTGGCTGGCTGGTGACTGCTGGTGAGATGGGTGAAATGAATTCAAGTGCAGAGGGTGGAAGGATAGATGGATGAGAGAGAATAGTCAGTTTCTCACCAAGGTAGAAGACTTGCTATTTCTGCGAAGAGAGATTTCCTCTGAGTAGTGCTGTCTGGGGAGCTCTTGCCTTCTCCTCTGCCTCCGAGTGGACTGTCTGGCTCAGGTGGCTCTGGGACAACAGGTGGGCTGCCAGCTCACAGGGAGCGAGTCCCAGCTGTGGTGCCGGAGCTGTTCAGCAGCAGCTCTCAGTCCTAGCTGCTTTCACACTGCTCTGAGAAACAGCAGGCTGCCTCCTCACCACTGGCTCTCCTGGATGACTAAGCCTCGAGCCCGACTGCTCCGTCCTCCTCTAGCCACTTGGCGCAGTCTTAAGTCCCCTAAATCATCACAGCCACCCTCTGTGACTGCACTCACCATCCTCAAGGCAGATAGAGGGAAACTGAGGCTTGGGAATGGTAAGTGACTTGTCCAAGGTCACACAGGGGAGCAAATGGAGAACCAGGACTTGAATCCTAGTCCGGTTTTCTTCCAAATTCATTCATTCTTGCCATTTCACTTAAATTTTGACTTTGATCGAAAAAATTCGCGCTCCTTGGGGCTCACCCATATCAGAGTCACCCCGCTGTTCCCTGAGGGTGCTGGGCTGCTTAGCCGCCTAAATTCAAGCGTATTTCTCAAGTAACACCTTCGCTAGTTTATTCTACTTGCGACTATCAACTAGACGCACCTCTGACGCCTCTCCGTGCGATTAATCGCGTCGGGTTAATTTTCTGGTCGCTCACATTGTCACTGACTGGTAAGGGGAGCAGATGCAAAAATGGCCCTAGAACCTGAAGCGGGTGCAAGGTAACAAGAGGCAGAAGGCTGCAGAGCAACCCAACAAGCCCCCCGGCGACTCGACTTCTGTTGAGCACACATAATTTGACAAGCAGCTCTGGGCTAAGCTCTGTTACCCACATCCCATCTCTAACTTCAATCCCAGGTCTGCTATTACTAGTTTTTTGAGTTTAGGCCAAGAATTTAAACTCCGTGCCTCAGTTTCCTCACTTGTGATCTGGGTGTACTAGTAGCATTTTATTAATGGTGCTTAAAGATTGAAAGAGTAAAACATTTAAAGTGCTTCAAGCAATGTTTCCCATGATAAGCACGCAACGAACATTTTATTATAATTAAAATTACAATTATTATAACCCTTCTCATTAAAATAACATTTAATGTCTCTGACTGATAAGGATCATCATCCACATGTTACAGATGGCCAAACAGGTGCTCAGAGTGGGGTATGAGTTTTTCTTTGGAGACGGAATCCGTGGAATGGAAATTTGAGAGTAAAGGATTTCAGTTTTAGTTCTCGAAAAAATGAGTTATATGCACAAAATAGAAGTGCTGTGTCAAAGGAAAGATGGGTCCTTGGAATAGGGGACACTCCCCAAGATTTCCTTGAGGGTGTTGAGAGTTTTGAGAGGTTGGATGGGAGCTGGGGAGAAGGGAAGGATGAGCAATTCAGGTTCTCTTAATTTGACTCCATGGCTTCTGTGGGGCAGTGGACAAGTTTCCCTAGTTCTCATACCACACTTACTTCCCTACCTGTTTGTGGGGGAGGTGGGAGAGTGTGGTGAGAGAATAGCTGTATGGACAGCAGCGTTTCTTTGTTTACGTGTTTTGAGGGTGGCCAGGGGAACAATTCTGAGTCTTATCCTGTGTGGGGCATGAGCCCTGGGCACCACCGTCCCATTCCTGGGCAGAACATGTGCAGCTCCAGCTGGGGTGGTCGGTGGCTGCACGTGGACTGGGTGAGGTGGTGAGGAACCCTGCAGCCGAGAGCAGGGAGACGAGCTGAGTGTCTGCTGACTCCGTGGCTTTGCTGGGAGCATCAGTGGCTCTGACACCTGGGCCCAGAGTCCATGCAAGGCTGGTGGGAACCATCCCCACAGCATCTCTTCCCAGAGACCATTCCCGTGGTACATCCTGGGGCTGTGCCGGACGCTCTGGGGTCACACGCTCACATTGTGGGCTGGCAGGGGGTTAACTGAGTGCCACTAAACTGAGGCCTTGGGGCTAAGAGGCCGAGAGAGACTTGAGCCAGTCTGGCCACTTGCAAGTCACTTCACTTTTCCAAGGCTCAGCTCCCTTATGTGTAAAATGGAACAGGTGATATATTTGCTCAGATGTCCCCTGCTCCTTACCCAGAGTTCTCATCGCTCGCTCCTGTCCCGCACCTTATTACCGTGCGTCCTGATTGTTTCTGTCTCACCCATGAGGGCATTGTTTAACTCTCAGGTCTCGTCTGTTTTGTTCACTGCATCGTCCCTGGCGCCTAGACCAGTGCTTGGACGAAGTGCGTGCTCGAAACTTATTTAGGGGGAGAGGGGAATAAGAGATGCTGTAGGATGGAGCACCCCAGAGGACTGCCGGGGCATGCAAAGCAGACAGCATGAAGCCTGCAGCAGAGTACGCATCCAATAGCGATGGGCTAATTATGGTGATTATGTCTAATTCGCAGGACGGTGCCGAGGCCCAGAGGAGATAATGGATGCTGAGGCAGGAGGCGGGCGCCGTGCTGGGGACAGGAGGTGCAGCATCCTGACCCTCTGCTCCTTGGAGGGAACTTGTGCTTCGACTTCATGCTTTTCATTTTCACACCATCTGGAGGGAGGGACGACTGCTGGAGTATTGCCACCTGAGGCCTCGCAAGTGTGACAAAGGCAGAGGCCGGGCCCGGGCCCCGGTTCCCAGCTGAGCGGCATTTCCAAGCCACCGCCTGAGTGTGGCCGAGTGGGTGTGTTTATGTCTCTGTTTCACTGAACACACACGTGCGTAATATATGCATGTTTTCAAATTCGTCTATTTGTGTTTATTTTCATGTCCCAGAGCGCCTCCAAGCCGGCGTGCCGGGCACGTAGCAGGCTGTTCCTGGGGCAGGAGGGAGCTGGCTGTGTGCTGTCAGTGGACTCCAGGCTCCTTTGCTTTCTGGAAAATAATTTGAACATCAAGAGTCTCATGGCACAGACTCCCAAGGGCAACGCCGTGTCATGAAATGAATTTCCTTTTCCAAGGCGCAGCCTCTGGCTGGATTACTGTCTTCCAGGTACTGGTTTAAGTTGGATGCTGTGTCCAAAACCCAACAGATCCCAACAATTTGCTGCCCGAGGCCCCTTGCTTGACCTGAGTGCTGAGATCATTCGTTGCTCTGATCCCTTGGGCCGGGCGTGGCCGCGGGTGGCATGGGGGGGTGGCGCGGGTGGGGCTCCGAGGCAGGGCGGTGTGGCGGGCGCCTCCCTTTGGACCACGAGGGTGTTGCTGTCCTCATTCTACAAATCGCACAAGCCGGGGCACAAGGCAGAGAGGCCAGGTCACGTCTCTGCAGTTACACAGCTCGTGAGTGCCTGCTGGGGTGGAACCTGGTTTGTCTGTCTGTCTAGCACCACTGCTCGGGCGCAGCTGCAGAGGGACCACAGATGTGGGCGAGGGGCTCAGAGGCGGGCGGGGGCACCACGCTGGCTGACCCTGGCGTGAGAAACAATAGTTGGTTGTGCATAGGGGCTGGGCTGGAAGTTCCCTAAGGCAGGGGTGGGGGAGACAGGCGCAGGGCGAGTGAGCCTTTGAGTCGCCAGCTGGCCACGCCTTGGAGGCAATGGAGTGGTGAGCTCTGGCTGTGGCCGAGGGCGGGTGGAGGTGGCACAGGCACCAGGCTCTGGCTGGCCCTGACGCCCGGCGGGTGTGCTCTTGTCAGTCATGTCCGTCTCACTCTCCCCTCGCTCTTTTTCAGCTCTCAGCTGAAACCTCCGCAGAGGTCTCGTAAGCCACTGGCCCATGAAACATACTGTTTTGAGATTGAAACTTTACAGATACAAAAGGGATTGGGGGGCAGGGGTTTCACTGGAGATTTGGGAGTGACTCAAGTATAGGGCAGCGGGCGGATGAGGGCAGAGAAATGTGGGGGGCTCAGATGTGGTCACTGTCCTGGTCTTGGCCATCGGGGAGGTCGGAGGTTGCCCGGCGGAGTGGCGAGCGTGGGCCCCCAGCCAACGATGTGCAGCTCTCCACGACCGAGGGACACAGGAAAGAGACCAGAGTGGTTTGTGGTTGTTCATTTTATTATTAAACTAATAAGAGGTTAAAGCAATAATGTCACTTGCCTCGGATAAAACAATTGTGGGAATGTGGACAAAAGATTTTGATGTGTCCAGGTCTGCTGACCTGTCTTTACCATACACTAAAGGTTGAGGCTGTCTCCTTCCTTCTGATGGGGTGCTGTGCTACAGAGGGTGGGCACACTGGGTGCTCTTCCCTGAGGACATCTGGAACCTGGGGGAGGCAGACAGGTGTAAGGGGGCTTAGTGGGTGTCCAGGGAATAGTTAGAAATGAATGACTGCGTAAACAGAATGAACGAGGGCCAAGTATGGACCCCTGGTGACGGAACGTGTTTCAAACCAGGATTGAAAGTAATCTAGTTCTATCAAAAAAAATGCCAAACCCAGCAAGGTGAAGGCTGTTAGGATTATGGCCAGGGTTAGTGAGTAGACAGTGGGTATGGCTGGATGGTGGTTGCAAGTATATTTCCTGTTAAGAACAAATTGTTAAGAACAATTTGTTAACAAATTGTTAACAAATTTGTTAAGAACAAATTCCATGAGTAAATAAATGCTAAAATGAAAGAGCATCAAGAATGAACCACCAAAAAGAATAATTCATAACCCGAATTATGGGTTCAGGTTAATCCACTCAGGTGCACTGGTGGATTCTCATAAGCAACCAGCGCTCAGCTCTGTGAATAAGAAGCGCTGGGCATATAAGTAGTGATCTAAGTACCAACCAACAGCTCTGTTCTGGCTAAGTGCTGAGCACATGTGTGTTTATTGTATTGAGAAAACAAGTAAAAATACCAAAAAGGACAGATAAGAAACAACGATGAGATCATACCTGGAATCCAAGATTGCTTCCCTAACTCCCTGGGTCTGGGTCCATTACGGACCTTGGCTGACTCCCTTGTGGGTAAGAAACGTAGAGAGAGCTGCTTGTAGTACTCATTATTCTTGCTTTTGATTAGGGGAGTAAATTCATGCATGTGGAATGTAATGATAATTATTAAATTAAAAAGTATACAGTGAGAGCTGTGTGATATCAGTGGTGAAACTGTGGCATGAGCCAAAGATTGAGATTAATCTTGTGCAATCACCGATGGCCATTAAGAAGTGCCTCGGATGTTTCCTCCTTTGTAATATCTGCCTTGTGTTTCACAGACTGGAGGCCCCGAAGTGGGCCTAATAACACCGTGGATGCGGATCTGGACTGTGGCCTCTGTGGGAAATGAGCCGTGGACCGAAGCGATGTGAGTGATGGGGGCTTGCCTGGGTGGAGGGTGCATATGCATTATTAAGCATGAATGAGTGCAAATAAAATAATAAATGGCCGAGCACAGACAAATGATGAGACTGTCACGAACCAAGGGACTTGAATGTCACTTAGCATAACTGTCACCAAATTAAAAAGTAATACAACTCGGCTGTTCTCTGTGTAGGAACAGAGTGAATAAAACCAACTGTGTCCCATGTTTCCCTAGTTGTAGCCCACTCTACACATACATGCCCTGTTCCGTCAATGTAGTTATTCTTTTTCGTGGGTTGAGCGTTGGGTTCATGCATGTCTGCTGACTTATTCAAAATAGATGCGGGCACAGATAAGACCAGAGAAGGCCCAGGACAAACTCACAACGACAAAGCACTACAGCCCCAGGAGCTGTGGCTGCACAGTGAGTGGCATTACAACAAAAATGTCTATGCTCCTGCATTGTTTAAATAGCATTCCGTTATCAGTCACCTTTTGTTTAATTCATTTATTGTTATGGAAATGCCAGTGTTTGGACAGTGCAGGATTTCTGCCCTCAGGTGTGGACACTATAGCTAGACTGTGTCCTCCTTGATAGTCCCTTGTGGGCATCCCCCGTTACTAATTCACGTATGACGGATTCTATGGACGCTTCTGTTGAAGGTTGGGCTGCGACTCGGTGAGAGAGGTGCTTATGAAGCTCAGGTTTTGATGGTTTTCTCTTGGTTGGGTAAAGTTCATGGATATTTTATGATTTTTTAAAATGGATAAATAAAATTTATAAAGGCTAAGGATGTTTTATAAATGATGGCTGATTAACTTAATTCTACAAAAATGACCATTAAAAATGACCCAGTGTCCATTTTGAATAGTTGTTTTCTGTAACATAAATGGACACAGCACAGGGGATTGAATCATGTAATATTTTTTTTTTAAGATTTATTTATTTATACAGGCACTGGGTACAGTCAGAAGCCGCAGAAGGTGAGAGAATTCACCAGAGCCAGAGCGGGGAACTGAACAGGCAGACTGATGAAATACACTGCTGAGGGGAGCCCCAGGCATGGCAGGAGAGGTCTGTGTGCCATGTGGGACCCTTGCTGGCGGCCGGGGATCGAACCAGCGCTGCAGAGGCTACGGGCAGCTTTGCAGCCCAGTGCTCAACTGCTGTGCCACCAGGGGAGGTCCGAATCATGTAATTTTTATAGGGGGAGCCTCCCTGGTGGCGCAAGGGGTTAAGCATCAGCACTATGAAGCAATCCACAGCCACTGCAGCACGAATTTGATCCCCAGCCAGGCAGGTGACCCACATGGTGCAGCAGACCTCTTCTGACTCGCCTACTGTATTTCAGTAGATCTGCCTTTCTGCTCCCCACTCTGTCTCTGGTGCATCCTCTCGCCCCTCCCCCTCACACTTCTGGCCTGTACCTCAGTTCTTATATGCATAAATAAATAAATCTTATAAAAAGAGAATTATTGAGGGTATGCAAATAAAATGTAATAGTTAATATTTTCAAATTTTCACCTGGAAAATTGTCCAAGAGTGTTCCTAAGTAAATGAACGAATGAATGAGTAAATTAATAGAAAAGAGCAGAGAGGGCATGTGTGGGCTAAGGATGATGGTATTTCATGATTCCAGATTTAAGATCACTCCAATCCCATGCATTCAGTGTCCATTTCCAAATGTGCTGGTTGGTTAAGGAGTAGTCAGTATTCTTGCTTTTTCATGGTTTTGTTTTGTGGGTTGATTTCACTACTAAAAAGAAATAAATAGTTACATAAATGTGTAAAATATAAGAAAGTCCAAAAAATAAACTTTTTCTTAATATTTTATTTTTTAGATTTATTTATTTATTTATACAAGCACTGGGTACAGTCAGAAGCGCGGGAGGGTGAGAGAATTCACCAGAGCCAGAGCGGGGAGCAGAGCAGGCAGAAGGACCGAAGTACACTGCTGAGGGGAGCAGCGGGTGGCAGGAGAGGTCTGCGCGCCTTGTGGGACCCTCCTCCGGTGACCGGGGAGCAGCCGGGGATCGAACTGGCACAGTAGAGGCTGCGGGCAGCTTCGCAGCCCAGTGCTCAACCGCTGCGCCACCAGGGAGGCCCCCCCCAAATAAACTTGTGATGAGAATGATCCAAGGATTGAGAGACTGCAGTGAGCTCAGGGCTCTTTATCTCATAAAAAAATAATCTAGCCTGTCTCGTTCCTTTTGCCAGTTGTTTTGTATTTCATTGTGTATATACACATAGTTTATTTAAATATCCCTCCAAGGATGAAGATCTAGGCTATTAACTCTTTGAACAAGGACCACAGGGAGATGAAAGATAGTGTTGTGGAGTAAGAGATGTTTTTATGATCGCTCATTAAAACTTCCTTAGAAATGTCAACTCACACAAAGGACAATCATAATGAGCCAAGAATGAAAACATTTCATGATCAAGAAGTTTGATTAGGGTCCTCCCTGGTGGTGCAGGGGTTAAGTCTCAGTGCTATCAAGCTATCCACAGCCATTTTAGCACGTGTTAGATCCCTGGCCAGGGAGCTGACCCATAGGGCGCAGCAGACCTCTCCTGTCTTCCCTCTGCTCCCCTCAGCAGTGCATTTCAGTGGATCTGCCTGTTCTGCTCCCCACTCTGTCTCTGGTGAGTCCTCTTGTCCCCTGCCCCGACATCTCTGGCCTGCACTCCAGTTCTTTCGTATACTGAGGTATGCAAAAAAATAAACAAATCTTAAAAAAAAAAAACAAAACCCTAGGACCCCAGTTCTTATATGCATAAATAAATAAATCTTTAAAAAAAGGATTGTGATTAATCTAATTCAGCAACTTTAGAAAATGTTCTAGAATATTACTTAAATTTACAGAATATATTCTGCATTGGTGGGCATGCTCTGTAACTTGTTCTCCCCAATGTGGTAGCCACTAGCTACCTGTGACTATTGAGTACTTGAAATATGGCATGAGGAAGTGAATTTTGAATTTTACTTAATTATTTAAATTTAAATTTAAATACTCCGGCAGCTTGTGGTTACTCTACTAATTGTGTGGGATGTTTGGCTCATTGGCATTTGGTTGCTAAATAGGAATAAGTAGATGCACAAAATCAATAAAGAGGGTTAATTATGAGCCAGAGACGAGATTGTGCCAGGAAACAAAGACTACAAAGAATCCGGTTCTGCATAGCTGAGATTCGTTGGTAAAATATCTTTGGTTCATGATAAAACAGACACAGGCTTATTCATTTATTTTATCAACTTTGTTATTACCTTGAACCTGTGGCCCATATTTCATGTGAACATTTCTCTACTGTTAAAGATCTATGTATATGGGTGGGGGAAGATCAAAAATAGTGTCAAAGTTGTCCTTGGTATGTTGAACCGTGGCTCATGGATATCCATGAACAGTCAATAGTGGTGTCCATGCATGGCGTAAAGATGATAATGTGACATGGGCCAATATGAAGCAGTTAATTCAAGTCCTCACAACTGGGGCCCATAAATGCAAGGTCTTTTTCACATTTGCTGGTGAGGAACATACAGGCAGATGTGACCCACTGTCAATACACACAAAGTAGGTTCACAGCTACACACTGTCCCTCTCATTTGAGGTCCCAGTTTTAAGTCTGGAGCATGCTCTTCGTACAGTGAAGGCGTGAGGTCACAGAGGTCAGGAAGAACCCAGGAGCACATTTAAAGCTTCTGCTTGGACACGGTTGAAGTCACAGCCGTCGTGCTCCTTGGGCGAGACAAGTGGCCAAACTCACCAGAGGATTTTCTTCCCACAGAGGGTAGAGGAGGGAGACATCCCAGCATCCATAAAACCAAGCTTCAGTTCAAAGTCCAGAGCCTGAAAGTGCATTTCAGTTTAGATGTGATTCTTCTTCTTTCAAAGACATATAAACTAAAGAGACAGGTCATCTCCCCACATGGGAAATACACATGTTGGAACCTCCTCTGCCTGTAAGCAGAGGAAGTGGGGAGGACAGAGTGTCTGCCTCACTGCAGCTCTCGAACCCTGCTGGGCAGGAGACAGACCCCACCATCGCTGGAGGGGGTCAGAGGGTGGGTGAAGGCAGATGCTGGCCGTGGTCATCATTCTTTTCCATTTTTTTCTTCATCATTCTTATTCTTATGTTAGGACATCAACTCAATAGTGCTTATTCAAATAATGACTGAGAATTATTAATTGATTAAGTCAATAAAAAATGGATCATTGCCCATGGGTCAGCAGGGTAAGGAACACTAGCCATGGCCATGCTGAGAACGTGGCCCAAGCCAAAGCTCGGGTTTAATCCAGTATTTCACTACTAAATTCATTTTAAAAGTTTGGATACAATACTTTCCACTCTTTCACACCTGATTTCTGTTCTACAGAATGAGTGCATAGAGCTGACTGACCAGTCTAGTGAGGAAGGACTTCCCCCATGGGTAAGGAGCGTGGAGAATGACGTAAGTGACACTTGGCCTTCTGGCTCTTGGTTGGGTGGTTTGCTTGCAGAGATGACGGCCATACTTTCAGGAAAGAAATAGCTTCACACATTCGTACTATCGCAATGATGAGAGAATGACCAGAACCAAGGGTCATGATTTATCCAATTCAACACAACTTCATTGCATGAAAAAGATATCAAGGACACTTTATCTACATCATTTGCATTTTAATATTCCGTATTAATTTTATACCTCTGTTGACTTAAACATACCCCCCATAAAGATCCATGCTGCTAGCTGGGTGTGAGGTCAGCACCTGCGGAGATGGACAGCTGTGACCAGTGTTCCATTGTGAGGGAGAGTAGTGAGCTCATGCCGAATCCTGTGTCCTGTTTGAGACACAAGCAAATTTAAAGAAAGGGGCTAAGAACAGGCCAGTGAGGACAGCAGAGTGAGGACAGGTTTATGCATGTGGATCCATGCAAAGAAGATCTCATCCCAGCTCTGGGAATGGAGCCTGTGTTAGGGCAAGGTGCACTTCAGAGTCTTAATCTTGAACTTCTCAGGCTTGGGGTATTGATTATTTGTTATTATAATGTTACTACCATTGGCATGTAATAGCACTGGCTATTAGAAATTCAATACAAGTTAACCAGTGAATAAATTATTAAACAAGTATACAAATGAATAAAAAAATAATAAAAGGGCCAGTGTGGAGCAATGGTGAGTGTGATCTGTACAACAAAGCACCATTATTGGTACATTATGAAGCCCCACATTTCTTTATTTTATTTTTAGAGATTTTTTATTTATGCATACAAGAACTGGGGCATAGGCCATAGGTGGTGGGGTGAGAATATTCACCAGAGATGGAGTGGGGAACAGAACAGGCAGAATGACTGAAATACACTGCTGAGGGAAACAGCGGATGAATCAGGAGAGGTCTGCTGTGTCATGTGGGTTGCTCCCTGGCCGGGGATTGAACTCATGCTGCAGTGGCTGCGGATAGCTTCATTGGTTGCATCTTAATCACTTGCAACACCAGGAAGACCCAGCCCTGCAGTTCTTTAATAAAAAAAGCACTGATGTCCTTTTCTAAAAGAGGAAAGATGTTACATAAATACCAACATTGAAGCATACTCATTGAGGTTATGTCAGATGACGAGAATCAGGAATTTATTTATTTAGTTTATTCTTTGATCTTTCTTTGAAATCCAGGCTATTCATTGTAAGGGAATGAATAAGTTATGTCATAGTCAGATCAAAAGTGTTACCCTAGTGATGAACGTAAGTTATAAAGCAAAAGTTAGGGTGAATTCAGCCTTCATTGCTACATCCATATAAAGAACATAAAGCCAGGGCCTCCCCAGTGGCGCAGCGGTTGAGCACTGGGTTGCAAAGCTGCCAGCCGCCTCTGCAGCGCCGGTTCGATCCCCGGCTGCTCCCCAGCCACTGCAGGAGGGTCCCACATGGCGCGCAGACCTCTCCTGCCGCCCGCTGCTCCCTCAGCAGTGTACTTCGGTCCTTCTGCCTGCTCTGCTCCCCGCTCTGGCTCTGGTGAATTCTCTCACCCTCCCGCACTTCTGACTGTACCCAGTGCTTGTATAAATAAATAAATAAATCTTTAAAAAAAAAAAGAATATAAAGCCACCCTTGTTCTTTAAAATTCACAGGTAAATTCATACTATACGGTTTTAGCCAGGCTGCTAATGTATTTGCTCTTATTATGAACTTCTAAAAGATAGGTATAGGAATAAATTAATCCGTGATTAATCAAATTAAATAACAGATAAGCAGATAGATAAATACAGAAAGTGCATCATGAGTGAACATTTGTGAAATGTGCCACAAAACAAAATTTTTAGATTCATCCCATTTTGTATATGTGAGGTCCATTTAGCAAAGATAAGAGAAGATATTTCAGTTAACAGTTGTATAGTACTTCATTTTTTGCCACAATCATTTCCACAATCCACCACTGATTAAGATGTAGAGTTTTTCATCGTTTTCTTTACTATTTTTCAATTAGTGAAGCACCATTGTTTTACATTCTCATTAACATTTTTGACAATACAGGATTCTCCCCACAGGCGTGGTCCCTGTGGCTCTCTCCATCAAAGCACCCCAGCCCTCCATCACAGTCTGTTGTGCTGTCCCTCACCCCATTTTTAACCTGTTGAGAGGAAAAAAAACACAAGGAAAAATAGAAAGCAATGAAATAAAATGAGACCTTCCTGGGTTTTCATTCTTACATTTAAAAATTTTAGAAACTCAAGAAAGTCTAAAGAAAGAGGCAGCCTGGCCAAGATGGACTTGGGCTTTTGCACAAGGACTATCGGTTGGTAGAGGTGTGCAGAGGTGAGGTCGACTGCAGAGAGAGATGGAGGGTTAGTGTTGGCAGAAATTAGCCCAAAACCAGTGGTCAGTAACGCCTCTTAGATTATCTGGATCTGTTGTGATTCGTGCTCCAGGTTAAGTAACTATTAGTCAATCAGTGAATGAATCAATAAGCAAATATTTAAATGAATCAAGTTCCAAGCCTAGACCAATAGTGAGTGCACTGGGTGTCAGAACCAAGCATTTTTTTTTTCTAAAGATTTATTTATACAAGCACTGGTTATAGTCAGAAGCACGGGAGAGTGAGAGAATTCACCAGAGCCAGAGCCAAGGAGCAGAACAGGCAGAAAGACCGAAGTACACTTCTGAGGGGAGCAGCGGGCGTCAGGAGAGGTCTGTGTACCATGTGGGACCCTTGCCCGGCAGGTGGGGATCAAACCGGCGCTGCAGAGGCTGCAGGCAGCTTCACAACCCAGCACTCAACCGCTTCGCCACCGGGGAGGCCTGCAAGCATTTTTTTTTTTTAAGATTTATTTATTTATGCACACTAGAGCTGGGGTACAGGCCTGAGGTGTGGTAGGTGAGAGGTTTCACCAGAGACAGAGTGGGGAACAGAACAGGCAGATTGACAGAAATACACTGCTGAGGGGAGCAGCGGGTGAGCGAGGAGAGGTCTGCTGCACTATGTGGGTTGCTCCCTGGCTGACCGGGGGATTGAACTTGTGCTGCAGTGGCTACGGACAGCTTCATAGGTTGCATGTTAACCCCTTGCACCACCAGGGAGGCCCCTGAACCAAACATTTTAATCCAACCTTGTAACTCAAGGTTTATCAATAAAAACGAACCTAATTACAGTCACGGTGAGACTTGAACTGTAGCTGGAGTTGGGGCTATAGGCATCTCTCTCTTTGCTCTGGAAGATCTTAGGCAGGCATCCTTTTATTAGTGACTCAGCGCAAGAGTAAAGAAAGAAAACAAGTAAGCCAAAACATACCCGTGCATCAAGAGAAAGAGGGCTGGGGAAGACACCGTGAGACTGCAGAAGGAGAGGTGTCACCAGACACTTCTGAGAGCTGAGGTCCAGCAAGTGGAGAGTGGGGGGCTGTGCCTTGTTGGTTAGGAATGTTTGGGCACAGGTACGCAAGTGCCAACGTCACGTCCAGGTTGATTGTTAATTTCAGTAAGAAAAGGGAAAAAGGAGAATTGATAATCTATTACAGAACTGCCCAGAGACAGAGGGCTGAGCATGGGCCGGTGTTAAGAACACTCATGTGACTAAGTTAGTTATTCTCTTTGCTGTTTTTGTAAAACACATTTAGAGATGTCAGTGTGGGTATTGCGTTCATGGCAGATGGTAGCGTTAAGGTCTCGTCCTGGGTATGTGGGTGTGTGGATATTGATTAGACGCTAAGTGAATGCAAGAAGGGGCTGTTTAAAAAAGAGGGCTACCGTGGGCCAGTGAGGATGACATGCCACTAAAGAAGCTAATTATTAATCTCCTTTTTGACGTCCATAAAGAGCACGAAGCTACCCGTAATAGCATTTTAGATCATTTTACATTTGCTTTGGAAAAATGAACATATAAGCAAGTTATTTCTTGAATAAATAAAAATGAAAAAAACTCATAAGGAAGTGTGAAAAGTCCATTATTGGTGAGAATGTCAAGACCCAAGGACATAAAGTTGCTTAATTCTAATTAAAGAAAATCCATAAAAAAGATAATCTGAATTTTCACCAATGAGGATCGGGTTTAATAAACAGAATTTGGAACAGGCATAGTTCTTAATTCCCCTGCTAGGGTGTAGATTCAGCAGTTGTCATCATATGACATACATTAATAATTAAAGAAGCCAATAAATAAAAAGAGAGCCATTCCTGGGCTAATAATGGGAATGTGATGAAAACTGGGACTTAACAATAAACCTGGCAAGGTGGACCTCAGGTCTGTTAAATAATGTAGGTCTACACTGCTTTTGCAGTTCTCTGTAGTCTGCCTTTTACTCCACAGTGTCCATAAGCGCAGTCTGATTTCATCATTATCCAGTGATGAAGACCTGGGCTGTCTGGCCTATGGATAAGGAGCAAAGATGAGTAGCAGAGTTTGCATTCCTATTTGGGGGGTGGGGGCTATTCTTGTCTTGCAATAGTTTCAAAGGGATGGGCTAGCTCCCACAAACACCAACAAGTCCAGAGAACACCGCCTGTCACTGCTGGGACGAGGCGTGACCATGCGTGAGGTTAACCCACTTCAGCACAGTCAAGGCACATGTAAAACAAAGTTGGTGGGTTTATGTGGTTTCCAGGGTTTCTTCACAATCACTCCATTTGGGCGGCACCTGCAAGGGGCTTCTTCGCTGGTCTTTACCTGCGCAGCTAAGTCGTTGAGAAGCCGCACCTGGGAGGGGATTGTCGGCTCTATTTGTGGAATGAGACGGTTGATTCATTGGCCTATTTTTAAAATATGAAGAGTTTAATGAACTGTGAGCAAGGAGCAAGCAGTGGCACACATGGGATGGATACGAAACAAGTTTATTGATTAATCCATCTGTGCAACACTGAGGTCCAATTAAAAAGAGATCTCATTTAATAGCTCTGTGGGATATAAGCCTATAAACTGCTCTCTGCAATTTTCAAAGATCTTATTCTTGGGTTTTTGTGATTCACGAGAATTTTTATCAGTG